CTTTGAATGCTTTTCATTTTCAGGATTAAAAGAAAGTAGCTTCCTAGACACCTAAAGAAGACACATAAGAAACTGAACAGCCTAATAGTCTTCTGCTTTCCAAAAGAAAACTATGGGCTTTCCCCCCTCTCATGCTGACTATTTACCTAAACTTTAATCAGCAGAATACTATGCCAGCATGAAATTTGTTATTTCCCATTGCTGATTTTTATTCTACTTCTGTTTTTTTCTATTCCCCATCATTGCCAGTTGTCTGAATATGCCTGTTACAACTCTTTCTGGAGTGGTACAGCTTAATGCATGCACAATGCATAGATACCAAAGCAATTGGTTGAGTCCTTCAGCTTTCTTGGCCTCTTTCTTCTATATATCCCCAGCTGGTGTAGGGGGGGGGGAATCACCAATCAGGTCCCTGCAGCAGGTCTATGAGTCACATGTAGCACCTTTATTTTCTTTCTTCTTCCTTTCCTTTCTTTATATCTACAACAAAAGCAGACTTTCATATTCCTCCACGCTTCATTAAGGAAACAGTGGGAAAGGGGTTGTTCCCATAATTCCACTGTTACAATATTTTAGCCTTGTCCTAAATGGGTAAGGGCTGCAGAGTTAAAACATTCATAATAATGCTGGCTGAGCAACCTACCATTACTGTGTAACTCTAACAGGCTGTCATCTAAATTACCAGCTGCCAGTAACTTCCCCCGTGCCATAAAGGATGTTGAATGACAGCTACTATGGTGCTATCCAAGCACTCAAGAGCTTGTAACAGGGAAACATATGCATGCAGCTAGAACGGTTTTTCTGGAGGAATGCAAAAAGAACTCTCCTGCTAGGAAGTTCATTTTTACCTTTCTTATTCAAAGCCAAAGGAAGATTGGTACAATAGTACTGTATCAAGCTCTTTGTGCACAAAATAGCCAAATTATGATTGATAGAATTAACTGAAAGAGAAAGAGTATGTTCATATTAGCTTGAAATTAGCAGTCTACCTCTATGATTCCAACTACTATTGGACCTGCGAAAAGGAGGCTGGGAGGTGAGGAGCACATTGACACAGAGCTTTGTTCTCAGCTGAAGGCCTTTCCTGAAGGTCTTTGCCAGCGAAATGGAGGCTGGGGGGGGGGGCAACGCGTGTGTCATCATAGAGCTCTGATCTTGGCTGCAGAGGCCTTTCCTGAAGGCGTCTGCTGGTGAAACAGAGGCCAGGACAACATGCGTGAGCAGTAGCAAGCAGCTGCAGAAGTGGGCCAGGGGCAGCCACGATGGCTCCTTCTGGACAGGGCTTTAGTGCCACTGCCGCAAGGTGAGGCAGGCATTGGGGTGTAGTAGGCCTGGCTGCGACAGTCCTGAGGTAAGCGGTGCAGGGTGCGTAGGGCAGCTCCACCCCCTTCCCTTGCCGTAGCTTAATTTTTACGCATATGCCTTGCCCCATGGTGGGATGGAGTGGGCAGGGTCTTAACTAGGGCTTATTTTGAGGATAGGGCTTATATTAGGCACATGCATAAAAATCAAGCTAGGGCTTATTTTCGGGATAGGTCTTACTTTTGGGGAAACACGGTAACAACAAATATTTATCTGATTCCATTTTTCAAAGCAGTAGTTTTATTTTATATAGCAAATAATTATTTTGTTTTTGTGTGCATATTTTTAATTGATTTCCTTTGGAAAAAAATTAGAATGGCAACTGACCCATGAGGGGGACATCCAAACAACAGTCCAGCCCATAAAATTGGAACATTGAAATATTTGTTTAGTGGCCAAGTGTGATTGGACACACAAGGAATTTATCTCTAGTGCATAAGCTCTCAATGTACATACAAACAATGCGATAATTCATAAATCATAGGATGCAATCATAAATCATAAGATACAAAAGTGATCAATCATAAGATACCAATAGGAGAAGGTATTATGAAAGATGAGAAGGATAACAGCAATACATCCCTACTACATGGGTAAATATCTTTAGGCATAAGACAGTGCTGTGGGAGTTAGCTGTTTAACCACGTGATGGCATAGGGGGAAAGACTATCTTTGTGTCTAGTTGTTTTGACATGCAATGCCCTGTAGTGGAGTCCTGGGGGGGGGGAGTTCATATCCAGGTCTGTTGATATTTTCACAGCCCTCTTTCTGGTTCATGAATTATACAGGTCCTCAATGGAAGGCATGCTGGTTGCAATTGTTTTTTGTGCAGTCCTAACAATCCGTTGAAGTCTGTATCTGTCCTGTTTGGCTGCTGTGCCAAACTAGACAATTATAGAAAAGCAAACGACAGACACAGTCAAATGTAATACTTTTTATTAGCTGTCTTGATTTCAGAGCTTCCCCTCCTTTGTTTGGCTGTTCCTGAAAAGGCTTGATTCAGTCTATGAGGAAAACTTAATTAGCATTGCTTTGAACCATTGTCCCTCAGCTTGTCTGTTTGTAAACATACATGGCTATTATTTTACACAAGATAATCCCAGGCAATTTATGGTCTGATGCCCAAATAATTTTTTTTAAAATTAAATAAGTTCTTTCATTAAAAACATGAAATTATGTAGATTTACTCTTGACAAGTTAATTAGAAACAGTGCTAACTGACCGAGTGAAAAAGGGCTTTAACTCTTAGGAGATAAATTTTACTGAGATCAAATAAAAGGTCTAGTCATATTTAGTATCCCAATAAAGCTGGGAAACTACCATATAGTAATGAAATGATACAGAATGAAATGTTTAATCTACTCTCTGACTGCACAGGAATTGGGAAGACCTAGGGAGAAATATTTGGAATCCTTGCTGAGCCATTGATTGGCCTTGGAGAGTTATGTGCATTAATGCTGTCCATACAGTAAAGCTGCCTCATTGTTGCTTTCAAGAATGTAGCATGCATTATGTTTCAATATTGATTTGGCTTTTCCTATCTATCTATCTGTCTGTCTGTCTGTCTGTCTCTCTCATTCATTTCATTCCCACTCATCCCCCCCCCCCAAGAAGCAGCCTTAAGCACTGTGCAAAACTTTTTCACTGAAAACCAAAGCCTTCCTTTGAAACTGAATTAAGACAGAATAGTCCCCTATGTGATAGGGGACTATTCCGCTAATCATGCTGCTCCTGCCTGCAGTCCTGCATCAGGAGTGGGTTGTAAGAATAAAAAAGGGGATAAACTCATGAACATCAACACTGGAGGAAAAGTGAACTCTGTAATACATAAACATGTTTATACAAATATAATTAAAATATTGAAAGGAGCTGTTTTGTCACATGTATGTCACATATGTAAGGGATGGATGGATAGATGATGATGGATGTTCTTTTCTTTGTAGACTCTAGATGGCAGTGTCACTTTAGCAACCGTCCAGATAAATCAACAGAGGGTAGGAAGAATAAACTGATAGCCACCAGTTGTGGTGCCCTATTGTTGGAATCCATCAAAATACTTCACAAAGAATGAACAGGAGCAGCCTGGTGTGGTGAATATGATTCCTCCCCCCAGGTCCCCTTGCCCTGTCAATCTTGTTCCTTTTTCTCTTCATGGGAAAGAGGTGGACACCATCTTCAGCCACTGCTGTACAGGCAGGCCCCCATAGCTATTAAGAGAAGTGGGGAAGCTGCTTAGGTTTTGAGCACAGGTGTCATACTCTTTCAAAATACTGCACTTTCATGGAGTTTTCAAAAAGGATTACACCTAAATTAAAATAGGCCCATCCACCACTTGTTCAACAGGTTTGGAAAGCTGGTGCAATAAAGTGAGAGTATTTTCTCTCTCAAAATTTCCTCTCTCAGCATGGAGCCAGGTTTTTTAAGGCAGCCAGATCTCCATTTTACCATGTTACTACACCTTTCTGCCCAATTGCTATTTGGCAATCATCTTTTCAACCAGCATTAAACCCAAGGTAAAGCAAGGGAAATCATTCTCTCAAAACATGGCAACCTGTGTGAGTTGGCCCTCTCACCACACTCACTTTATTGTGCAGCTTTTCCACCCATTAGAGAGTTGGTGGGATTTCAATCATAGAGAATGTTGATAGAGGCAATCACCCATTTTTATGAATGCAGTAAAGGGAGATTTAGAACCTATTAGAACGCATGACAAGCATTGGCTCAATTGAAGGGGCAGTCCTTTCTCAGCAAAATAGCCAATCCGCTGCTGAGGTTAGCCTGCAAAAAAATCTGAAATGCATTAGCCCAAATGCAAAGGAGCACTCAACTCAAGAGTGCAATTCAGAAATGGAAGACAGAAATGCACTCTGAGGTCCATTACCTAACAGTGCCAGTTAATGATTGTCATGTGCTTAAATGAGGCAATGACTCTTAATCTCTGGACCACTGATCAGAACATTAGAAAACCAATGAAAGGTTGCCTTTCTTGGTAAATTGTAATAAATTACAACACTACGTCAACATTTAAAATATGGTACATTTGTTCAAAAATTGAAATAATGAAAGGGAACAAATACAATTCTAGCAGTTTTTAACTTGTTCCACCTGTGGCTACTTCAATTAAATACAGCAGAGATGTCACATATAACAGTATTAACGCAAGTTAATGATAGTTACGATTATGAGGCTCATCATGCTGGAGCCCTAGAAAGAGTGCAGAAAAGAACAACAGAGGATAAGGAGTCTAGAGGCTAAATCTTACAATGAACTAGGGAACGAGGTATATTTAGCTTAATGTAAAGGCGGCTCTGAGGGGCTGTCACAGGGAAGATTTATTTTCCATAGCACCTGGAAGCAGGACAAGAAGCTCTTCAGAGGGAGATTCAACCTGGAGATTTTCTGACAGTGAGAACGATTAATCAAAGGAACAGCTTATCTTGCAGAGTTGTGGGTACTCCATCGCTGGAGGTTTTGAAGAATAGATTGGACAACCATTTGTCCAGGTTGATGTAAGGACTCCTGCCTTGAGCAGGGTTGGACCAGAAGATCCACAAGGTTCCTTCCAGCCCTAAGATTCTATGAATTATTATTGCTTTTTAATTATTTATTTTTAATTTAATAATTTTAAAAGACCCATCTTTAAAGTATAAGCAAAATTATTTTATTGAAAGAGTTGAGCTTCCGTAGATAATTATTTCTGTTTATAGAACTGTGAATTACAAACTAAAGAATACTAAGTGGGTTCTTCAAAGAAATGAAACTGGGGAGAAAGGGCACCTGGGCAAATGAATGCTTTTTGGCATCTGCTGGGGCAGCTGAGGCTTTCTGGGTCATGGCAAGCAGCCTCGCAGCCATGCAGCTCTGGGACTGTTTGTCACCTTACAAGGCAGGTGGGAAAGGGGCCTAAAGGCACTGATGGGGGAAAGACAGGTGAATGGGGGAGTTGGAGACAATCCCTTATCTTACTGAGGTTCGGGGCTGGGAGGGACAAAGTCTAGAATGGCTTGGACTGAAATGGGTACCTGCAATTCTTGGTCAATGACCACAACAATGAATGATTGGATTGCTGCTGTAAGGTGGTATAATCACATGATGTCTCACTTTATGATGTACCAACTTAAAATGGCAAGCCCAGTCCCAGTTGGGGTCTTAAGTTGAGGAATACCTGCACTATTTTATGCAGGAAAAAAAAATGTGGACCAGTTCATCCAACAATAGCCTTCAGAAAGGGACAGAAATGAACAAGACTCCCTAAACTTGCACAAAAGGGAGAAAACATATAGGGGTTTACCAAGCAGTTAAAAGGGGGAGCAATCATCTCTGAGAAATCCAGCATATTTTTAAAGGTGACTTCTGTGAAGAAATTGGCTGTCCATCCTCTCCCTCAATGGATTACTGTACATTCAGGTTTCACTGTTTTCAAGGAGGATCTATCTGCAGAGTTTAAAACCCAGTAAACCTACTGACTCTTGAACTAAACCAACATAAATCTATTCATAGGTCTAGCTGGCCAGTCCTGGCAGTTCTCATATAAGCAATCCTCTTCCTTGTTTTCCTTTCCTTTAGTATTCCAACTGTAGAGTCTTCTCCTGTCCTCCATTCTTTTCTCCTTTCCCAGGCAAAGCATCCACAATCCTATCCAGTGCTTGGAAGTTCAGGGAATACATCTAAAATTAATAGCGGTAAAAGAAACTGTAGTTACATCCTGTCTTCTGTTTTAGTAATAACTTTATCAATTGTTCTTCGGGGAAAAGGGGTGATCACAAAGAAACCCTATTATGTTCACATTATTTGGGGATGAGAAGAGAGCTTCTTCTGGGGCTAAAGATATTACTGAAGTGCCACAGTGCTCACACAACCCGATCACATTCACCCCACTGGGTAATTGAGTTGGTAGTGGATGGTCAAAAGGGAAGGATCTCGGCCCCAGAGGAGAAGGACTTTAATCAAATTGTACCCCAATGATTTGGTTTCCCACTGATTTTGGAAAGAAAAAAACAGGCAAGAACAGCAACAAAAAAAAGGGTGGTGGATTATGACTTACCCTTCGTCTCAGGTAGACCACGGCTATGATGGAGAGTAAGACAATAAGAAAAAATAGTAACAGGCCAAATATTTTCTCAATTGGTACAGGGGGCAAGCTGGCAAGCCGGGCACTGGCTGCAAGACAAAATTATACTAAATAAAGTCAGAATGGAGGAAAAAAACAGAAGATCAAAAATGATAAACTCAAAAATCCATCTTTAGCTTAGCACGTGTATATTCTATCACATAGAAAATCAATTATCTGATCTTAATTGGCAGCTTCTGGATGAGATGTAAACAATGCCATTCAGAACTGAATCACAACATATTGTAGTAAATAAATTAGGATTATACTGGTGAGAACAAAAATATTTTTTTAATTTGATGGGAGCGGTCAGAATGTTTGGTTGGATGAAACAATAAAATACAGAAGTAGTTGGGACACACGATATATGTCAAGATAAAAGTTGTGTCCCATTTACTTAGCAACAGATCTAAACTGCATAGGAATTGGACTTTTTGCTTTTGTGGCTCCTGGTACAAATAAGGTACAAATAGCTTTAAGCATCTACCTTGTAATCTAAGAGAATAAGGTAGAAATCTCAGTCACAGCCACTTGAGTAGCTTTAGCACCATTGCTGTGCTCTTTGATACCCTCAAATGCAAACTGGGGTCCTTGATCACTAAAGGCTGCCTAGAGGACTAGGTCATTTGGGAACAGTGAGTGAATTGGTTGAAATCAATTCTGGATGCTGGTATCCTTTAGATCTGCTTTGCTTGCCTTTATGAGTGTGGAGAGACAGATTAATTCTTCTGGGCCTCTCCAAAGCTTTCAGTCCCTTTAATCACTGTAATTTTCTGAGTAGACTGTCTGAATTTTATGACACCACCATTTCAATCTAGAAGCCTTTACTCTGAGGCACCACAGGGTTTAGCCTATCTCTGCTTTTCAATCTCTACATAAAATTTTTGAGTGAGATCATCCAGAGACTTGAAGTGATATGCAATTAATAACCAGATGCCAACTATTCCTTCTTCTTAAATTGAATGCAAGGGAGACAAGTTATAAAAACTGTCTTGAGCAGTTAATAGACAGTGTAACAAACTATGGACTGAACACAGTACACTGGAGATCTCAGTGGTGAGTAATTAATCTGCTGAATAAATTGTGTTCAACCTACTTGGGACAATACTATAGGTCCCAAGATACTGTTTGGGCCTGTTGTTGGAAAGTCAGATTGTGTGTCATTCCCCAAAATAAAAAAACCCGGGGTTTGACTTGGACAAAAAGTAAATGGATCGCCTAATTTAATGTCATTGTCATCTATAATCTCACGCCAGTAGATGCTGCTGAATCACAACCAATAGCTTTAGCCAGGCTGGCTAAGGGTGAAGATCAGTGTAATTCAGTACCTTTGAAGGCAGGGAGTCGAGTTTTTTTTTAATCTGGAGCGCCAATTTCCTAGACGAGGGAATTGTTCCCCTCCTCCCCGCCTAAAAAGAAAATGAACTCTGGATCTCTCTCCTCCGCCTTCGCACAAGGGGCTTTGTTCTCCCAAAGCCCAAACGTGTGAAGGAAAATAAACAGCATTGCTCTTTAGTTCCTCTTCCCGGCTCTCCTTTGTTTCAGGAGGAGAGGAAAGAGGGTCGAAAAAAGCCAGCAGCCTGTGCGCTTTACACCGGCCTTGGCGTAGGTTGGAATGCACCGGGGTCCACCCAGCGCTGGGGCGATGCTTCAGCCTGTGGCCCCATCCTGGCCCCACTTAGCTCCTCCCTTTGGGGCGAGCAGAGAGGGAAGCTGCCGCCGTTGCTGCCGCCCCTCTCAGCTACGGCATCCGCGGTTCCCGCAAGCTGAAAGAGCCGGGTGGGGCTGTGGCGGCAGCGGCGCTGGGCGCATTTCCTCCCTCTCTTCTCCCCCCTCCCACCGGCGGCTGGGCGCATAAGCAGAGCCGAGGGCCGCCGCCACCGGGTAGGCTGGCTCGCCCTCCTTAGTCACTTGCCGCGGCGATGGCTTCGCCTGACCGGGTTGGGAGAAAAGCCTCCGAGCTTTGTTTCGGAGAAAGGTTGCGAACGAGCAGCGGGGGCGAGAGCGAGGAAGTGCGCGGGGTAACAGGATGACGTCAGCGGCTCGTGGCTGAAACCCGTCCAGATTACGTTCCCCTTTGAAGAAGCGCCTGCCAGCCCAACAAAACGTTTTAACTCTTGCGGTAGAATTGCTCTGTGGAGTCAGGGGTAGCCCTGCCCTCATTTTGTCTAGCTGACCTTCTCCTTCTGGCAAATGTGTGTGTGGGTGTGATCTGGAAACTCTGCTAATTCAAAAGCAGGTTGTGAGGCTAACAATTGGAACTGGGCAATGTGATCATACTGTGTTTCTTGTTTGTTTTCAAGCCCGGTTCGCCTTCTAAGCCCGTGTCACTTGCACCTTTCTGTGGTTTCTGAGCTTCATAGGAAGTCTTTCAATCTTTTTGCTATCTGAATTAGGGCAGCTGGTGAAGGGCGGTGGTGGAGGTTACTTTTGAATGCTATTCCCAAAACAACTTCTTGGAATGCATTCTGATACCAAAAGAAGTTTCTGTTTTCTCCAAGGTTCTTTTGATCTGTTTTATCCTGGCTCTTATACTACTATGCTGAAGTTTTTACCGTTTTTTCTTGTTAACCATAAGAATGTGAACGGTTGTTTTCCATGTACTTTAAGGTGAAATATACATTTCAACAGTTAAAGAAACAAAGAATACCTGCAATTTCCAGGTGATACTGCACAGATCCTAGCTTCCCCTCTGGACCATGGGCGCTGCATTCCCAGGTACCTGCATCCCTTGATGACACCTGTTGGAATTCTTGGATTGGGCCCCATTTCACAGGCCTACTAGAAGCAGACTGAGAGCTGTTGCTGGATTCCAAGTCCAGCCACTTCCACTGAAAATGCTCTTTTCCTGTGTAGTAGCTGAGGTTACAGATGAGGACCAAGTGAGAATCTTCAGGAATTCTTGGCTCAACAGTGCTGGTAAAGACTGAAGGAAAAGCAAGGAAACAAAAATCACCAATGCCCTGTCCCTCTCACCTTCCTCCTACAGCATTCAGTTAAATTAATCAAATTGCAACACTGAGACCTGAATCTATATAAAACATATTATTATTATTAATTATTCCCATACTCAACAACCCTAAGTAGGACTGAGGAGGAATGACTGGTCTAAAATCACAAAATGAGATTCTATAACTAAGGATAGATTTGAACCTGGGTCTCTTCAGTCCTAGCCCAACTTCATAGCTACTACACTACACTGGCTGTCTGGATTTAATTTCAGGTTGTTCACCCTCTCCAGTTTAATATCATTTTCTTCCTTCAGTTAATAATATAGAGTAGCAGTATGCTGGATGTCATCAGCATACTGGCGAAACTCTCTTTCAAAACCCTAGATGATATCATGAACCTTCCCAATAACATCATGAGCATTTTCAATAACCTGGGAGGCAAGTGGAACCCTGTGGGACCCATTCATCCATTTATGAATGACCATTATTTTGATGTCTGTAATTCTCTTTAATTTACTATTATATTGCTCAGCATTTTCTTCCTAGCATTTTTCTTGCAAGTGTAGGACCTGGTTGTTTTTTTTTAACCAACTGAGCATTGATTAAAACAACGGTTCTCAACCTATGGGTCGCGACCCCATTTGGGGTCGATCGACCATTTTACGGGGGTCGCGAAACAACGTGATCTGCCATTTCCCCCCCAGGGGGCGGCGCCGCGCATGGGGGCGGCGCCGCGCATGGGGGCGGCGCCGCGCATGGGGGCGGCGCCGCGCATGGGGGCGGCGCCGCGCATGCGCGCCACGTCCGTGTGGCGGGGTCGCCGTCACACGAAGATTGAGAATCGCTGAATTAAAAGAAGAAGCCCTGATGATGCAGTGCTTAGAATGCAGAATTGCAGGCTAACTCTGCCCACAGTCTGGAGTTTGATCCTGATGGGCCTTGAGGTTGACTCAACCTTCCATCCTTCCGAGGTCAGGAAAATGAGGACCCAGCGAGTGCTGTAAAGCACTGTGTGGTGGTATATAAGTCTAAGTGCTACTGCTATTGCTATGCATTGGTTGTGCAAGAAATTGAATGATTGGCTTGTCACCTAAGTCTGAATGGCCGAGAACAAATGACTGGCCCAAAGTCACCCAGTTCGCTTTCATGCCTAAAGCAGGACTAGAAGTCACAGTCTCCTGGAGATTTCTTTCTCAAGTCCTTCCTCAAAACTCATTTTCCCAGAAGCAGAAAAAAATCAAGCCAGGCAGCTTTTAACATTTCTAGAAAAAATAACTAGAAACTGCCTACGAGGAACCATAGCTAGTAACATCTACAGTACTGAAAGCTCTGAGTGCAGATATAAGGCAAGAATTTAGAAGACTGGGAAAACAACCCAGCGTCACACCTGCTTACCACCAGGCTCAATACCACCAAATATGACTCAGAGCTTCCATTCAATGTGGCTGAGTCTCAGATAAATAATCATAGAATGTCAGCTTTGAATTTTTTTCCCCCCATTGAATTGTGTCTGATTCTCAGAAATTGCCTGAACAAGTCCCTGCAGTTTTCTTTGTAAGGTTTTTCAGAAGTGGCTTGCCATTGCCTCCTTCCTAGGGCTGAGACAAAGTGATTGGCCCATAGTCACCCTGCCAGCTTCTGCCCAAGATAGGATTAGAACACACAATCTCTGTATTTCCAGCGTGATTTCTAGCTACACCAGTCTGGCTCTCAGATAAGCAATACAAGCATTTTAAAAATGTAAGAGAAGAACTTTGCTATATAATTCTGGAGCAGGGGTTCTTCAGGTGGAGTCTGTGGATAGATTTCAGGAGATCTATGAATTTGGATGTGAAAATATATAACTGTATTTTCACTAATCTTCAACTAAATTTTAGTTTGTCTGTAGGCAACAAAATAATGTATTGCCCATAGACTCCAAAAATATTTAGCTTCAATAAATCCGACTATCTAAAATGATTATTCCTTAAAATAAAATAGTGTCATGTTGTTCATTTAATGGGTTAATAAAGGATATACATTGCTATATTATTATATATCTGTTGTTTTTTTAATCTTCTGATACCTGCATTTGGGCATAATTTGTTTGCCTCCATAATTATGTATTTTAATTTATGCATTAAAATACATCTTTCTGAAAAGGACTTTGTAGGTTTCACCCAACTCTCCATGAGAGAAAAATGTGAAGAGTTTTGTTCTACAGCTGTTCTGACCGAGTTTAAATCTACAAGTCTTTTGATCTGCTTACCCTAGCTATTACTCTCTGGATACATTGGTCATTAGTTTCATCTTTCCAGATAGCCTGGCCAATAGCTGGGAATGATAGGAGTTGCAACTGAATACACCTAGGAGACATCCCATTCAATTATCCTGAAGTGGTAAGTATTTTAGTGGCCCATAATCCCTCCTCATAAGATAAATGGGCTACCAGTTCAAATTTCTTTTGTGGTGCTGGGAGATAGGAAGGATTATGTTCCCTCAACTTTCAGGGGAAATCCCTTAAGAGAAGAACGGGCTTGCTACAGGTTTGTTCCTCACCTGTCATCACTGCCAGGGTGATATTCTTAATTATAGTAACGCCTTGGATGGTGATCCCACAAAGATATTGGCCTGCATCATTTAATCCAACAGCTGGGAGATGAAGAGTGAAATCCTGATAGTTTTCATAATTGGGAGTGGGTTTGGCCTTCAGTTCTCTCCCTGCCATGTATCTCCATTGGATGGCCACCCTTGAAATTCCATAGTTCGTGGGATTGGAATTCAGGACACAGGGCAGATAAGCATCAGATCCAGCTGCTGTATAGATGACCGAGGGGGCTTGCTCAGTAAATCCTATAGAGGAGATAGTAAAAATAACAGTCAGTGTTTAGCGGTGGGATACCAGAGGGTGCAGAAATGTGCAATAGGTGGAATTCGGCGCACAATGGTCTTTCTGATTCATTCAAGCACTTTAAGAATAAGAGAGATAAACATGTTTTTATTTATGCTGGTTCTCCCCCACCCCACAAGGGGTGGAAATGTGAGAATAGGGAAGATGAGATGAAAAGATGGATCTCACCTATAACTTGCAGGTTGTGTCTGGCCACAATTACCTCCCCATCTGCAAAGGTGAGTTGGCAAACCCAGGGCCCAGTGTCACTACTGACTGATTCCGAGATAAGCAGGGTTTGATCGATAGGATGAAGCCTGTAGGAGATGTGAACAAGGACATCTCTGTGGAACCAGAGGACGTTGGTGGGATTTCCTGGGTGGGTGGAATTGCAGTTCAGCCTGACAGATTCCGACTCAATTAGAGGACGAGAAGGGTGAGCAGTGACTGTTAAGAAAAGGAAAATTGGGTAGTAATATTCATAGAACACTGGGATCCCTAGCCTATGGGACCGTCAATGTATTTATTTTCCTGCCTGCCTTGTTCAGAAGAACTATTTTTATGATATAGAGGAAGGGAGTGAGAAAAGAAGGGAAATCATGGTTTCTTGAAGCACTCTACCAGCCCAGTTTTGATATTGTTGAATGAATAGCTCTTACAGGAAAAAAAAATGCTTAAAATAACAAAGTAAGATGATGGGGACTTTTATGTCTTACGTAGTTCAGTCCAATGGATATTTTTACAAGCATTGGTGTGTAATAGTCTTAGTTACCTTACTACGTCTATTAAATAGGGGGCATGAATCACTTTGAAATGTTGAATCCCATAGATGCATACAGTCTCAGAACTGCTCCTTGCTTAGCCATGAATCCAAGCTTTTTAAGGACTCCAGGCCAGCTCCAGATTCAGGCCTTGTCCTTGTGAGAGTCTCCATTCCTCTCTGAGAGGGTTACTTTTATTTTTGAGCAGCTATCCCATCCACTTACCTGACACCAGACCAAGCTCCACTAGGCAGCGCCATTCCTTGTTCCCATATCTCACGTGTGCCTCATAGGTTCCTGCATCTTCCTTCAGCAATGGCTTAATCTGGAGTGAAAAATTGCCCTTAAGAAAGCCAGCGTCCCAGACAGTTGCTCGGCGCATCATGGAATGGGCCAGACTCTTAAGCCCACTGGGCTTCACCTTGAGCACCAAATGACGCTTCATGGAAGAACTGGTCACAAAGAAAAAAAATTGTGTTGAATGAATAGCTGGTAGCAAGTAAAAGGAAAATGGGAAGAGGAAAAAGTGAAATACAAAATAGAAGTGCCACTGACCCACTCGCCCCCCCCCCCATTCCAAATTAGGTAAAACTGGGTCATTCTGTCTTACCTGCCTCTGTGCCGCACCCAGAGAACCTCTAATCCTTTGTACAGGTGCCTCAAGTTGTCCTTCACCATCTGGGGACTCAGGTAGCAAGGAAGAATCACATGTGTGCCTTCCTCACCCCACACCCTGTACTTCTCTCCTGTTAAACAAAGCGTTTTTCTGGCTACATAAAAAATATTGATCCAATGCAAAACAAAAGATGTTTATGAAAATAGCTCAGCTCTGAGCCCAAACAGGATAAAGGAATCTGAAAGAAGACTTGGAAGGAGACAAGCTGTGGCTTTAAAACATGGAAGACAGCTAGAGAATAGCATATTAGGCAACAAGGGCTCAAATGCAAAGAATTGATACAAAACAATTAATGCAGATTTTCTTTCCCCCACCCGCCTGGTAAAGAAAGAAAACTACCTGTCCTATCTTACCATTGGTCATCTGCAGAATGAGAACGAGAGTGCAGAAAAGCAGGACTAGAGTCATCTTGGCATCCGAGAGAAAGGTGAGTCCTCCAGCCCCCTCAATCCTTTGCCAATTGGCCTGGCTCTAAATGGGGGAGGATTGACCTGGTTTACCCAGAAGATACAGGCTAAGGTAGGAAAGGTGAATTTCTGATCAAAGAAGATTAAAGGTTGCTCTTATATTGCAGATGGGCTATTGATTTCCTGATTGCATTGAAGTGAACGTCACAGCCGAGAAATTAGCCCAATTTTTTTTTAAAAAAAAAAGCAACAAAAAAACCCAAAAACATGTGCAGGAAGGCAGAATGGTTCTGAAAGTACTCTTCAATGGAAACTGTTTCTTTCTTATTCTCTATACTGGTAATGACCACAATAACATTTTTTTTCTTTCTCTTTCAGTCCACTCACTCATTAACTATTGTTTTTGCTTGCAATGGAAAGTGTATAAGGGCTAATTTCTCAGGAAGTACCCTTAGTGTGTTTTTCTTTGAAGTATTGAAGTTTTCCCCTTTCTGATATTCTTATTCTTGACTGTCTTTGAAGTAATAAAAATAGTAATATCTGGAAACAGCAGAAGAGGAGAGAAAGAACTGAAGAAAATCACAAAATACAAAGACCTGCACGTAGAAGTAGACTGAGTGTGGCAAAAGAAAGCAAAAATAGCACCAATAGTAACCGGTGCCTTAGGTGCAATCCCCAAAAAAACTGGAGCACCCCTTGAAAACAATTAGCACTGACAAAATCACCATCAGTGAATTGCAAAAGGCATCTTTACTCAGAACAGCTCACATCCTGAGGCAATACCTTTAACACCATAAACCACAGCAACACCTGATTATCCCAAGTTCTCGGGAAGAACTCGATAGGCGAATAAAAATGTCAAATCCAGTCTAAACGTTTGGCTGACTGTGTAACGAACTATAATTCATGATGTTCAAAGTGCTTCATAAGCATAGTTCTTACTTAACACACAAACACAGGCCCCCAAATTTACTTCCCATAACAAGTGGCAAATGGAGTCCCTCCAATTGAAGTAGCCAAGGACCCTTAAGGGTTTACAAAATTGGTTTCAAAGGAATATTTGATTTAAGGCTGGTAGATAAACAAGCATAATCTTACTAGTTCACCTACAAATTTTCCTCAAAGCCAAAGAAGAAGCTGGATCCAGAAAAAAAAGTTGATATTTTTCATAAGAGTTATACATTATCACAAGGAATTCATTGCATTGATCCTACTTTGGTGGAGCAGGGCTCAGAAGGAATGGCCAGGAAATAACTGTATTAATGCCACCTCTTCCTAGCCCAGGCTACTTTTGCCCAGTGACAGGATAATCCTGTGTCATTAACCAATTTATCAAAACTTGTGCATTTGTTCATTGTGCAAACATGATCGAACATTCAGAGAATTATTCCTCAAAAAGGAGTTTCTTTCCTGGCTATTTTGGAATGTGTATCAGAGAGGAGGAACTTATTGTATACAAATACTTAGAGGGTCTTCTTATTTCTTTTTCTTTTTTCCTTAACAATATGCTTATTAAATTTTGCAGGGCCACCAGCATCTATGTTGTTCTTGAGCCATGAAGGCCAAATGCTAACACTGATCTGGAGAGGGAAAGGAACTATATATTTTCTTTGGCCATTTGTTTAAACAATGCTGTTTACAATGACATTCATAAGAAATATTTGAGCCTTATGAGGAAGCCCCTAGGCCATTCCCAGAAAAGAAAACTGAAAAACAGAAATCAAGAATAGAGAAATTTGTATATTATCAGAAAATTGTTGCTAGGGTAAATTCTCTGAACTGCCTGTGGGATGAATAATAGGCTAGAATGTTTATGGTGCAAGGAAAGGACAGAAGGAGGAAAGAGATTTGAAGGGAAATTCTATTCTATTCTGTTCTATTCTGTTCTATTCTATTCTATTTAATTTGAATGTGAGTTGAACTTTCTATGTAGTTGTGGATTTTGCCTTATCAGAGCCTGAGGAGGTGGATGATGCCAGTGTGTATGGTGTCATTCCTTTACTTAGATGTTCTAAAATGTCTAGGGAAGGCTGTAGATGTACAGCCAAACTAAAAATGATTTAACATTGCCATAGGGTAAATTTCTGTTGTTTTATAACATAATTGAGAAGATTGCATTTGTTTGGCCTTGGAGATCAAGACATACATGGTGCACCTCCCTCCTCTTTTGTCTCACAATCATTTAGAATCAGTTGAAAAAGGATAAGCTTCCAAAGTCATCTTTGGAAGTCAAACTTCAAAGTCAAAGTCAACTTCAGGCCTGAGTAGGATTTTGAATTAGCTAGGTTGACATGATAGCAGTGTTCCAATATCTCAGGAGTTGCCACAAAGAAGAGAGAGTCAAGCTATTCTCCAAAGCACCTGAAGGCAGGACAAGAAGCAACGGATGGAGACTAATCAAGGAGAGAAGCAACCTAGAACTAAGAAGAAACTTCCTAACAGTTAAAACAATTAACCAGTGGAACAACTTTCCTCCAGAAGTTGTGAATGCTCCAAAACTTGAAGTTTTTAAGAAGAGATTGAACAACCATTTGTCTGAAATGGTATAAGGTTTCCTGCCTGGACAGGGAGTTGGACTAGAAGACCTTCAAGGTCCCTTCCAACTCTGTTGTTCTATTCTATTGAAGAAATGGTGCCTGAATGGGAAACACCAAGAAATCCCATACTGCAATTATAAAGTAGATTGTGAACTAAAAAAAAAAGTATCTTGATGATGAAAGGAATGGTAAATCATTTTCATAATGCTACAATGGAAGTAATATGGTTATATCAATAAAGTCACTAGGTATAGCTTGTCTTGGAAACCTTATCATTACATAATCCCTGATCCAAATCTGGAACTCTAATGATCACTTCAACAGCCTTGAATAAACAGTAGTTGTTCTTGTTTTCTTCTGGGATTTGTCTACCTGTAATTCTTGCATTTCTTCAGTCTATTCAACAAGAAGGAAGATGTTTAAGCTGAAAACAACAACAACCCAGTTTTTGGAATTTGCAAAAAACAAAGAGCTGTTTTTTTATACAAATTATTCTTTCAGATGATAGGTAAGTCTGTTTTAGACATTTGTAAAAGTGCTACTATTATTCATGAGTAATTTGGAATTCATAGTGTTTGTTTTGAATATGTGAAAGAGGTAAATTGTAACTTATTTTCCACTGACTTTAGGTACCAAAACATTGTTTAGCAATTTTCCATTCTCATAGGATGTGTTTGTTGTTTAACTTAATAGAGAGTTTTCTCTGAGTTCTGCTTTAACAATAACATGTTTCGGCTGAATGACGCTTCCAGAGTTCTCAGAGACCAGCTTCTGACATTGCATGTTGCCTTGGAGGTTCAGAAGAGAGTTGCTACTCAGCAATGGGAATGTGGCCTTTAATAACCCCACTGGGTCTTGACCATTTCTAAACCCATTAAAAATGTTACTACTATCCTTTGTAGTCTGTAGCCAGGGAACTAATAGAGTTAGGGGGTAAAGTAACATTTGGAGGCTCCCGAGTTTCCCAGCTGTACTTGAATTAAATTTATAAATAAAGCATTCAGATCTCTATATCTGAAAAATCAGCACTTTTTATGAATAAAAATCTTGATTCTTCCAGTAATTGCCAGAGGCTTTCCTTCATGTGCCCCAGACTTGTGAAGTGAAGAGAAGCTGGTAAGAACAATTGACCAAGTGTTGCATCTCAAATATGAAATGACCCACTCATGAGGAAACTTCATCCGGAATATTTTACTTACTATATTTTTAATCCATTCGCAATTAGAATTTTAAATAAATCTTTTTGGTTTCCATCAAATATTTTGTTCTTTTCTTCAGCCTTCCCAGGCAACATTTTCCGGATGATTTATTTTATTCTAGCTTTTTAATTTGATGTTTGCCTGGGTTATCTTATGATTATCGTTTATCTTATATGAATATTTTTGTATTTTTCTGTGAATAATTTGTGTGACCTGGTATCCATTCGTACAATGGGACCGCTCTTTTCTCTTCTCTGATTGTCCTTGCATTTGTAGGGCTTCTCAGGAATGTTACCCAAACCTCTGGAGAAGGTTTGAATAGATGGCCAGATTTGTAGAAGAAGAGGGGCCAGTGTTGAAGTCTCCATGAAAAGTTAACATGCAGTAGAGATCAATATCTGTGGGTACATCTGGTCATGTCTTCAGTTACAGATAGTCCTCGACTTATAACCACAATTGAGCCCAAAATTAATGTTGCTAAGTGAGACATTTGTTAAGTGAGTTTTGCCCCATTTTACAACCTTTCTTGTCACTGTTGTTAAGTGAATTATTGTAGTTGTTAATAATATGGTTGTTAAATGAATTTGGCTTCCCCATTGACTTTGCTCGTCCGAAGATCACAAAAAGTGATCACATGGCCCTGGGATACTGTCATAAATATAAGCCAGTTGCCAAGCATCTGAATTTTGATCATGTAACCATGGGGATTCTGCAACAGATGTAAGTGTGAACAATTATCATAAATCACTTTTTTCAGTGTCATCGTAACTTCAAATAGTCACTAAACAAACTGTTGTAAGTTGGAGACAAGCTGTATTAAAGATGTCAGTTTGAAACTATGGGCAAAGCAATAAATAATGAATGAAATTAAGCAAGAAAATAACAATAGCAATATCACTTAGACTTATATACAGCTTCACAGTCCTTTACAGCCCTCTCTAAGCAATTTACACAGTCAGCATATTGCTCCCAACAATCTGGATCCTCATTTTACTGACCTTGGAAGAATGGAAGGCTGAGTCAACCTTGAGCCAGTCAGTATCAAACTGCTGGCAGTAGGCAGAGTTAGCCTGCAATACTGCATTCTAGCACTGTGCCACTACGATTAGATATGTTGGTTGTCTTTGAAACTAAGAAAGGGAAAGGATGTAATAGATTAAGTACTTTAAAGAAGAAAAAGCAGTATATAAAGATGCATATGAATATGGTAGAAACAAAGTTCACTTACAAGAATAAAAAGATAAAGTGAAGTGAGAAGTGAAGTGTTGGTATAATCTAGATTTTGCTATCTTATCTTTTAATTTATTTTGCATTTTGTTTCTTCTTTTCTGCACTTTGCCCAAGATCACTTGCCCCAGGTAGGAATAGCATAGCAGAATCAGTATGTATATGTGTAAAAATTGCAACCATTGGTTTAAAATCAGAGAAAGGCTTATATTTAAAGCATTACCTATCTACAGACATATGCAGACCTCCAAACTAATTGTCAATTCTGCCATCTTCAGCTTGGTGCCTTGCTGGCATCATGTTATCAAAAGTTAGGGGAGAGGGGGAATGGGGGACAAATGGACAATAAACCTGTATGGGGATGCAATGGGATACAGGGAGGGGTGAATGACAGCTTGATGAAGACCAGAGAGGCATGGAACCAGTTTGTGCCAGTCTTCAAGGCTATGCATCCTGAGAGTGGAATGTGAATTGATCCAAGCATCTCAGCTATTCTCAAAACAGCAGCTTTCCATTGGCTGAAGACAAACTGATCAAGGGTGGAAAGGCTGGGATGAGGGGGGAAAATTGTAACCTTTCGCATGGGAATCTTAGTTCTAGCCTGATTTTACTGCAACCAACAACTTTTAGT